GTCCAACAGTTTTTATATTTGAATAAAAAACAATACGCTGCTGGGTACGAAGCTGGATAGTCTAGTTTTCTATATCTACATTTATAAAACAAGACGTTAAACGCCCTGAAATGCCGCCGTCATTTATCCAAATCTCTAGATGTTCCTAATTACTGTATCGGCCGGAGTAGCTCAGTTGGGAGAGCGTCAGACTGAAGATCTGAAGGTCCCTGGTTCAATCCCGGGTTCCGGCATGAAAATTTTGCTTAGGTTTTTATTTAAGCCATCAAGCAGACACTAAACTTTCAAAAGCGATTAAACAATTTGAAAACAATTTCAATTTGTGTGTAGACGGGAAAACTAAGATGCCAACAAAATTCACCCACTCTATTCTTTATGAATAAATCAATAGCATTCCTTTACAAGACGTCCAACAGTTTTTATATTTTAACCGTTATGGTAATACATGTCACAGGGAAAAATCATACACCTCGAAATTCCTTGGTAACTCAAAACTTCGAATTCTCAAAGATACAAGTACACTCCCGTGAGTTTCTAGTTCTAGGAGCGTCAAACTAAAGATAATCTCTCCCTTGTAAAACTCAGATTCGTCCATCCATATCTCATCTGACTTGCATTAAAAATTCATCATGATAACAGACCTTTAACAAATGTGACAAGCTTTTTTTACATAACTTTTACACGTTAGTGACAAGATCCATCCAGGCCCCTAAAGGAAAGTGTACATGTGCACGAACATGATGTCTTGGGCCTTTTTTATACAGAACACGCGTCACACGTACGCTATGGCGTAACCAACGGGGTGAGGTATACCCCCATGCCTCCCTCACCATTTGAAATCTTTGAAGTCTCCATTGAAATGCAACTGTAGTTTATTTTCTTATAGTATCCCCTTGAATAAAATTGCACCCCTGGTGTCCCCCTCCCGTGAATTTAGGCCTAGTTACGCCACTGCTTAAATAAAGGCTATAATTGTGGCTTTGAATTTTTTTTTTTGCAAACTCAAAGGGAAGTTAAGTCCGACATTTCAAAAGGGGAAGCTACCACGAGCCTCTACGAATAGTCTCCTTTTACTGATTGGCAATGAAACAATTTTACCATAGGAAAGTACATGGTGTATCCCGATTATGTTGTGTTATTAAAATAATACGCTGCTGGGTACGGAGCTGGATAGTCTCGTTTTCAAAATTTACATGTATAAAAGAAGACGTTAAACGCCCTGGAATGCCGCCGTCATCCATCCAATTCTCTAGATGTTCCTAATTACAGTATCGGCCGG